GGCATTTTGTTTCTCGTTGTCGAGGCAACAAACAGCTTGTTGACCATTTCATCATAAATGTTCCCTGAGTTGTCGTCGTGTGTAAACGGTTACTGTAGGAATCCGAGTACCCTTTCAGCGTAAATGATTATGAATCCAAATACTCTAAAATTGATGAATCCGGAAACATTTACGAAGCCGGAAAAATCTGCTTAAGTGTAAACTTAGTCTTAAATCTTTTGTTTGGTTGCGTTCTCGCTGCCGTTACTGTCGTGGCTTGCGTAAACGTTCTAATAACTGAAAAAGACGGTACCCGGGAAGCGCACTGCTTCAGTAATGGTAGATTGCGAGTGGATTGCTTGCTTAATATGGATGGCAATCAGAAACTCCCATGTTAACTTAATAATTTGTTAATTTGTACATTTTCCTGGAAAATAATAAATATGATAACTTACTTCCCAAGGGCGAAATATAGTTGAATTTTTTCAATGCTTAGAAGTCTTAACATGTGACTGTAGATGAAGCAAGCACTAGATCAAAGGTTAGCTGAGATAATCAATTCTCATCTCTGTAATGTCTGTTATTTAGGTCCTACAATTTATCCATAAAATGCCCATACAACTCTTCTATTTTTGCCAATGAATATTTTGTAATAAGCAAAGGGAACGACCTCCTAAACTCAGATCTTTTGACCAATCCTCCTATTCCCAATTAACCGTCAATGACCTTACGTTTGACATAGTAATGTCATGTTCAACAAGTTCCTTAGAAATCCCCCTCCCCATCCTTGAAAAAATTTCCTAGTCAATTGTTCCAAATTGAACAAAGCATAACCTACTCCCATTGAAGCATTTAAAACTGCAATTAAAATCCCATTAAAAACTGCAATTTCCGCCGTTCCAGCTGAGATTCAACCTTATAACTCTCTTGGTGGAGTGCTGGGTTATTTTCAAGTAGTGAAGACTACAATCGCTGATTTTCTAGACAAAATACAACCAGCTATTGCTGGGATATTTTAAACTCTTACAAAATAAAAATTTCTAAATAAACCAGAAACTATTTTCAGTGAAATCTGATTCTGATACCGTTAAGCTTTATGGCGGGTTGTTTTGCCCTTCTTTCTTATGGAGCTGTTTGACAAGAGAACCGATTACTAAAAGGAATGAGGTGGAAATTAAGCTTTCTCAGAAGTTCTGCACTGAGAAATATTAATTAAAATTTTCCTTTTTTTCTTTTTCTTTTGAAATCGAATACCTTAAAAGGTTTCTTTTCGTCCGATGTCTAAAGTCCAATATCGTAAAACCAGCTGTCCAAGTTTGGTACCATGGGCTCTCTAAGGCTGACGGGAAAAGCGGTTAGAAAAAATAAAATAATAAAATCTGATTGAAAAACCCAGTAAAAGCTCTAAATCTGAAGGGAAAGAGATAGAAATAAAACTTCATCAGAAGCTCTTCACTGAGAAATTAATTTTCACTTTCTTTCTCTTTTTTAATCAGTAAGATCAGTGAGATATTCGATTTCAAAAAAAGAACCAAAAAAATAATAATAATAATAATACTTTTGAAAAGATTACCTTGTCCGATAAAGTAAAACCTTCCCAAGTTTGTCGCTTCCATGTCGTGATCATGGGCTCTCTGTGTAATTTTTCTTTACTCCTTATGCCGTTACCAAATTGCCGAAAACATTATAAAAACCCTCCAAGCTTAGACAAACGTTTAGGATGAACGAAATGAAAGAATTTGTTTACTCCACTGAACAAGGTATATGCCCGAAATGTTTGTGAATTTTTACAAGATGACACTTTGACATTTTTTCTGCCTTATCAAATTTTATTTCCTTTAATTTGAATGTTTATTTATCTCCACTTTTAGGAAGTTTGACTATTCCAGGACCTTCACACACGCTTATCGTTCCTAATTTAGTGAATTAACTTAAAAGGAAATATTTTGAATTTCTGAAGCATGAAGGGGTTAAAAGAGATTAAAAATGAACAAGGCATTGTGAAGAGATCATTTATATGCTCTGTGATTGGACATTGTAAAGAGATCCTTTATATGCTCTGTAATTGGACCATCTTTTCATTTCAAAAAGTGCATTTAAGACAAAGTAAATCAGGTTGCCCATCTGTCTTCTGGACAGTGTTTTCCAGTCGTCGTTGACCCTAATTAAATCCCACGCAGTACAAACTGAAGATGGAGATGTTCGTGATGCAGACTTTTCTACCTCTTCCACAGTTGTTACAAAGAGACTTCCCATCGAAAACAAAGGTAAGAAACACGTCTCTTTCTTGTATTCTACCTGAACCCCTAGCGATCTTCTTTGAATTT